TATATATATATATATATATATATATATATATATATATATATATATATATATATATATATATATATATATATATATATATATATATATATATATATATATATATATAAATTAACCTAATTCTTTCATGTTGTCTCAACACAAATCAATTGTGTAGAACCCAGCATTTTTACAGTGTACAGTAAAATCATAAAACGAACTGGGCCACATGAACAAAAATACTATAGTAATTTTAGTAAATACTATAGAGGTTTTGAACCATACTATAGTGAAGTACTTGAATTAATCTATTGTGTCAATTCTGTTGCTGCTGTGGTAATAAATGACCTAATACTGTACTAGCTTTTCTACAACTATATAAATTATACAACAATACACCACAGTTTACTGTAGTAAAAAACAAAAATATGCTACAGAATTAATAACATTTTGTCAGTTCACTTTAGTTATTACTACCTTATGTTGTAGCTTTAATTAACAAAGAGTTGTAAAAACTGCACTGCAAAAAATGCTGGCTTCCACACAATTCCTTCATGTTGTCCTAACTAGGCATGCGACAATACCCGCTTCCAAGGTATACCGCGGTTTGGAAAAGTCAAGGTTTTAAAATCGGTAAAATTTTCTGCTATACTGTTCCTATATGTTTTTAGCCTGACATGTTTACTGTTCCAAAATACTTTAAATGTTTCTCAAAATAAGATCTATTGTGTTTTTTACCAAGCATTTAAAAGAAACATATTTTAGAGCAGTAATCACAATACAGTTAAACTGTGATATTTCTATCCAAGGTTATCATACCATTAGAATCGTATACCTGCCCAGGCCTAGTCCCAACATGAACTGTAAACGGTTTTAATAAATTTAAGTGAATTGAACATAAAACAATTAAGTTGTCCTAAAAAAATCAAGAATTGTGTTGTTTCAGCTCATTTCAAATAAGCTGTTTGAATAAGCACTAACAAATCTTTTTGAATGTAAAATATATACAGTATAATTCACTTTAGCATCAAAGGTTTCAAAAACACTACAGTATTTACTATAAATTACTATAGTATTTTATCATGTAGGTGATTTGACTAAAAGACAGTGCTTCATCAACAAACAGCAAGGCACACTGCTTGTACATCCGAATCTTTGATAGCAAGCACTGGCAGTTTCCTCTGTTACTGTGCACAAGCTTTTAAATATAAAGCCTTTGTTATGAATAAATATTCTGTGTTGTTTGCATAAACACAACTGTGCAGGGAGGAGCACGTTATTGTGGGACCATGCAGCACTACCACGAATAACAGCCTCAACGTATAGAAATAATGTCCAAATGGAAACTCTGACTTGGAAACTTACCCTTGACTAAATGGAAACTTTTTTTTTATATTGTAGCCTGAATAATTTGAACAACCATTCCACTGGGGTTTAACTTGGGGAGGCATACTATTCAAAACTGCCTCTATGTGTTCAAATAAATACAATTTAAAAACTTTGTCAATTGAGAAAACACACTAAACTGTCTCAGTTGTGCTTTGAACTCTTAGTTGTTGTTTTTAGTAATGTAACTCAGTTATTTTATAGGTCAAAATTAGAGGTTCCATTTTCAGCTATAAAAACATGCTCTGTCTTGCATGCATAATGGAAGAAAAAGTCTCTGAAATGAGGCAAGTTTAGTTCATGTTGTATTGGGAACCTCTCCCAGACCATCACTACAGGAGTCACGGATAGAATAAACCAAACATTCTCTCTCATTCTACCTCTCTCTCTCTCTCTCTCATGGTAAATGATAAGTCGCTGATGCTGCCCTCCTCTGTTTTACTCGCTGAGGCTTTATGTAAGCACCTCAGTCACTTCAAACTCAAGGCTCTCCAGGAGAGGAAGGGAATCTTGAACTCCCTGTAGAAACAGGGCGCCTGCAAGCATTCCAGAGGAAGGAAGTTTGGACAAGGAATAAGACGGCAATACATAAGTGCACCTTCAAGAAAATACAACTGCATAAAAGGTTTTCCATAGCCCCGTCTTCCTACAACTTCAATAACATCAAACTATTCTTCATTCAAGCCACATGCTGGCAGTAATGGTCGCTCTCTCCATTTTTTTTAAAGTATGAAAGCATTATTTAAAATGACCTCAAAGTCTTTAACATTTTTCAGGTAAGTTCAGGCAACATTGCAGTTTTGCTGTAAAAAAAAAGTAAGTTCAGGTGTCTGATTATGAATTCTGCTGAAAGTGGCAGCGTTTCAGATGCTTTAGCTAGTAAATGTATCCTTTACCGCAACTAATTATAAGTTACACTGGAAACTTTGGTGTCAAAACACTAAACTAGAGGCACAGCAGACTCTTGGGCAATCTCTTGGTCACTGTATATACTATAAAACTCATTTCAATGCAAGCCAAATGTAAAATTAGACCACATTTCAACATATTCTTATATATTAGCTACACCACACAGTGAAAACAAACCATAATGCAGAAATTTACCAAGCACACAATTTGTGTATTTGGTTAAATGATAAAAAGGTAATACAGCATTTTTTATACATCAGTTAGTTTAAAAATAAATTCTGAGTAAAGACTGATATTTCTTAGAGAAAAAAACCACTAAAATGTCACTGAGTCTAACAATATATTCCAATATAAAGCTGAAGTCAGAATTATTAGCCCCCTAATTATTTTTTTCACTATTTTCTAACGAAGAGATTTTTTCAACACATTTCTAAACATAATAGTTTTAATAACTCATTTCTAATAACTGATTTATTTTATCTTTACCATAATGACTAGATATTTTTCAAGACACTTCTATACAGCTTAAAGTGACATTTAAAGGCTTAACTAGGTTGTTTAGGTTAACTAGGCATGTTAGGATAATTTACCAAATTATTAACAAATATTAACAATGGTTTGATCTGCAGACTATTGAAAAAATATATAGCTTAAAGGGGCTAATATTATTGACCTTAAAATGTTTTTTAAAAAATTAAAAACTGCTTTTATTCTTGCCAAAATAAAACAAATAAGACTTTGTCCAGAAGAAAAAACATTATTAGACATAATGTGAAAATGTCATTGCTCTGTTATACCTCATTTGGTAAATATTTATAAGAGAAAAGAAAAATCAAAGGGGTGCTAATAATTCTGACTTCAACTGTATATCTACAAAACTTGCTAAGCTTATTTAAGACAACAACAAACATTGCATTAGATGATATATTAAAATCAGGGTACCCACTCTTTCATGGACACTAGATTCAAGCACTTTTAATTGCTGCATCTCAATTTGCATACTATCCACCCTGAATAGTATTTTAAAATAGAATTAGTATGTCCCAAATCGTAGTATTTTTTTTTTAAAGTAAAGGTGCCAGGATGGTTTACTATTTGCGGTAAAAAAGTTTAAGTGTAGAACCGTCCATATCAAACCACTGATATTTCCCACAGAAAATTGAGCTTTGGACATGAATTCGATTGGAACTACAAAAGCGGGTCAAAAGTGTAAATAAACTACAAACATGATGGACGCACAAGATTAAACGTCTAGTAGAGAGGCTTTGGTAAAGTTGCTTGACTGACTATCAGGTAATATCTAGCCAACTGGAAAATATTTAAATCACATTTTCTGTGTTATATCCCATTTGGAACAACAATATTAAACTTATATAAAGACGTGTTTGGACATTAACGTCGGAATGATAATCATACAAAGACCTGAGTGATTTCTTTGCATGAAAGACTCGTGAAAGGGAGATTAACCTGCTGCTGTTTGTCCAATAAGGTAGGAAATTAAATATGACAGAAATGTGGATGATGTGTGGATGATTGACATGGCTCGTAACTAAGAAACACAACGATCTAATAAAAAAGAAATAGTATTTCCCAAATCTTCCACACTCTTCTGTTACACACTCAAAAGTGTATAGTTTTTTCTTCACAAAACAAGTGCATACTTCTAGGGTGTTGTATAGGTATGTGAACTGGGATGCAGCAAATGACTTTTTAAAATACTATTCATTTTTAAATCAAGCCTCTTAGTTATTCATACCCCAGCTAATGTAGCGCTATGAAAGTCCTTGTTGTACCTAACATTTCACCTAATATTTACATTAAAAATGTCAGAGTAATTCGATTGTTTTAAACAGAACTTTAATAAAATGTGTTGAATTATATTACAATACTGGTAATATTCAAATGCTGTTTCTGAAAAAATCTATCAAATGCTTTATTTATCATTGTTATTGTGCACATTTAAATGTAAGATTTTTTAATAAAGCATTTCTCAGCTTTTTTATTCTGTTTTTGACAGCAGCATAGTACAATTGTTGAAATAACACCATAAACCTTTTTGTTTGTTTGTTTTCAAATTTAATTCAAGCACTTTCAAGGATCTGTGTTTGTTTTTAGGTACTTTCCAGGCCTTGAATCCATATGTCTGAAATTCAAGCACTTTCAAGAAGTTTGGGAACTCAGTAAACTATTAACTAATAATAAAATTGATTATGTATTGATTAAACAATTTATTATTGTTTTTTATTTTGAAACTATTTGTCAAACTACTAGGCTGGCAATAATTTATAATAAAAAATAATAAAATCTTGTAATAACACATTAATTAATACATTTTATTGAACACAGTTCAGAAAAACTATAGTTTTATGTTTAAATAAATGTATCACTTTCACTGAATGACAAAGTATCCTTCTGACACCTAATTTTTTTTTTTACTTTTCACTTCCACAAAGGTTATTTGAAACCTCAGCGTAGGCAGTGACACCTTAATTTCATGTTTTCAATGTATACAAAACTGTGTATACCATGAAGGTAATTTGTTGCAGACACCAAAATTAGATTTTTAACCCAAACACACTGTTAAGCTGATGTGCATCCAGTTAAAAAATCAGTTATGTAATCCTAAACCAGAGCATGCGTGCCATCTGCACAGGTATTATCTATGCTCATCCAAACATATGCATGAATGGATAAAAACCCACATTTGACCTTAAATACCATGCACTCACACGACCCATATTCCAGTGATGGTGAGAGCTGGGAGGCTGACGGGTAAGATCATCCACAGAGACATCTCCAGCACACGATCCTCTACTGCTCCCCTCAAAACAGCCACTTCTTTCGCCTTCGCCAGCCTGTCTCCCTCTGCTCATCAATGTGCATTTATAGCCGTTGCATGACCCCAAATAGGCTTATCTTAAAGATCATACCTGAGATGAAAAAGAAATTGTTTTTTAAAGACACCATGATAAACAGTTCTCTACAATTGGCATTTGATGGTTTTGTTTTATTATGCATATATTCTGCACTTTTATATTCTTATTTGCACACACACTGGATTTTTTCTGTTTGTTTTAACATTAATAACTCTGTCTGCTCATCTCTAACCCTAACTGCTGTGCAGAAGAATATTCTTTAGCTAACCAGCAAAATGGCCGATTGAAGTTCGATGTAACAGCCGTGTGTGCGGTGTCGAGTGCGGGCAGTGTGTCTCTCACCTCCCCCTTGTTTTTGGGGACCGCGGTCGCGTCTCCCACCTTTGTTAAATCCTCAGACGGAGCGCAGACTCTTCAGAAAAGAAACGTCAATCATCGGTAGCGGATACAAGTTTATCTTTACTCCTCAAGCATCCAGATGACAGCGGCTTTGGGATGTTTTGGCTTCGCTCGTCGGTGTTTTTTTTTCGGCGGAATTCTGGAGCCTCGTTGCTCTCGGAAGATCAGTGCTGTCTCGTGTCCCGCCGTGTGGACTGAAAACGAACTTAAAGCAGTCCAGCTGTTCGCGCAGCTCCGCCTCCAGACAGCAACACAGCACATCCCGAGACTGTGCAGTATGTTTGAATGTTTGTAATTTTTTGTTTACAAAAATGTTTATTAAAAAAAAAACATAGATAGATAGATAGATAGATAGATAGATAGATAGATAGATAGATAGATAGATAGATAGATAGATAGATAGATAGATAGATAGATAGATAGATAGATAGATAGATAGATAGATAGATAGATAGATAGATAGATTGATAGATAGCCCCCTTTGAATTTTCTTTTTCTTTTATTTCCCAAATTATGTTTAACAGAGGAAGAAAATCTTCACTGTATGTCTGATAATATTTTTTTTCTTCTGGAGAAAGTCTTATTTGTTCTATTTCAGTTAGAATAAAAGCAGTTTTATTTTTCTTTTTAAAAACATTTTAAGGTAAAAAATCATCAGCCCCTAATGCTATTTTTTTCGATAGTCTACAGAACAAACCATCGTTATACAATAACTTGCCTAATTACCCTAACCTGCCTAGTTAACCTAATTAACCTTTTTAAGCCTTTAAATGTCACTTTAAGCTGTATAGAAATGTAGAAATGTCTTGAAAAATATCTAGTCAAATATTATTTACTGTCATCATGGCAAAGATAAAAATAAATCAGTTATTAGAAACAAGTTATTAAAACTATTTTGTTTTAATTTACATCTTTAATTTTAATTAATTAACTGTTTAGAAATGTGCTGAAAAATCTTCTCTCTGTTAAACAGAAATCGGGGGAAAAAATAAACAGAAAGACTAATAATTCAGTGGGGCTGATAATTTTGACTTCAACTGTGTGTGTGTGTGTATATATATATATATAGATAGATAGATAGATAGATAGATAGATAGATAGATAGATAGATAGATAGATAGATAGATAGATAGATAGATAGATAGATAGATAGATAGAATTAGGGTTGACACTGTGGCACAATAGGTAGTGCTGTCGCCTCACAGCAAGAAGGTCGCTGGTTCGAGCCTCGGCTGCGTCAGTTGACATTTCTGTGTGGAGTTTGCATGTTCTCACTGTGTTCGTGTGGGTTTCCTCCGGGTGCTTGGGTTTCCCCCACAAGTCCAAAGACATGCGCTACAGGTGAATTGGGTAAGCTAAATTGTCAGTAGTGGATGTGTGTATGAGTGTGTATAGATGTTTTCCAGTGATGGGTTGCAGCTGGAAGGGCAGCCGCTGCGTAAACATGTGCTGGATAAGTTGGCGGTTCATTCCACTGTGGTGACCTCAAATTAATAAAGGGACTAAGCTGACCAGGAAAATGAATTGTCTCAAAATAAACTACAAAAACTACAAAATACAGCAGCCACAAATGTATCAAAATAAATTCTATATTTTGATTTTGAAAATACTGCAAAATACTTTTTAACCATTAATGCAGATAATGAATTGGAATATAGCTCACTATTTCTCTTGATTGTGAAAATTGCCACCGTCTCTTAAAAGTCTTATGCTTCAAAATATTTGCAACTGAAATCCTCAACACTCAATGTAAAATCACGATTTCGGTAAACTACTAAAATCTCCCGTTTTAGTCAGTTCCATACAAGTTTTTTTTTTTTTTTTTTTTTTTTTTTTGCAGTTGTGCTCTTCAATACGCAATATAAATACAATATCTCAAAAAAAAATTTTAAAAATCAATATTTCTTTTTGCTGCCATAAAACCTCAGTTGGGTGCTTTTGACCATTCTGTAGATTAGGGTATTATTAAATATTTTTGTCTTATACTGATTAACTTAGTCAAAGGTTGTAATTGACTACAAAGAGCACCTGCAGATTACCTACTGGCATTTGAAACAGCCAATGAAGTATTGTAGGTATCGCCACTGTAGGACTTTATGTTTTTTGACTTGCTCCCAAATCTACCCTGCTATTTGTCTGTTACCTTCTTTATATGTGATGCATTATTTCCATCCATACTGCATTGATCAACTTCTTCTTCTAACCAATTTTCCAGTCTGATCACAAACCTTGTAAAACAACCGAGGAAGCATCCTTCTGGGGCCGCATTTTTATGATGTCATCATGTAGACTTTTTACAAAGTATTTTACAGTATTTTAAAAATACTAAAATACAATACACTAAAGTATTTTTAAACAAAATATTAACCCATGTTTATCAACCCTATCAAATACAAATGACAAAATACTACTTTGTATTTAAAATACGTATTTGAAGTTTTGTATAGTAAATACTGCCCATCCTGCTGTTTGGGACGTCCTAATTTGTCCACAACATTCTCTGTGTATTAGCAATGGAATGATTTTATGTGACAAATCTTATTTTGATACATACTTTGGGAAATTCTTTAAACATTTTCAAAAACTCAACTCCTCTAAAATTGACTACCCTTGATGGCTTTTTTTTTTTTTTTTCTTGCCCTAATTACTTCCATTATAATGACATTTTTGATTGAAAAGCCATTATTATGTATTCCTAGTTGTTGATGGTTTTCCCTGTTAGAAAGAGGTAAAACATTGTAATTTTTACTGTTGATCATCAGTTGCAGTGCAAAAAACCTTAGGTTCTAGCTTTCTTCAAAAGTACATATTACAAATTTTAGGAGGAACACTTTCATACTTTTTAGGTACTAAAATGTACTGTTGAGGTATTAATATGGACCTTTTAGGTATAAATTTGTACCTTTTGAAAAGGAACCACCCCAGTGACAGCTTGCATACCTTTATTTCTGAGAGTGAATGAAGATATTTGGTTATATTTTGTTATATTTTTAATGATTTTTTTTTTCAAACATATTAAGTGTTTTTATGCATGCACACTATAATTAGCTGTTTTACTCCATAAAACACCATATAAAAGTTTTAAACTTTTTTTGCATACTAAAAGAGTTAATGGTGCCAACTGTTGATTAACAGTAAAAATGACAAATTGTACCTTTTTTACCCAACAACAACCAAGAACGCATGATTATATGGTGTTATAGCTTAGCAATCACAAAATATCATTATAATGAAAGACAATGAAGCAAAATCTATGCATAACGAAATGGTAGACAACTTGAACAATACAAAGGGTAAATATAGATTGCAAAGCATTAAAAGAGCATTGATGTGATATTGTTCCTGTTTATTGATTTGATTATGTTGATTGATTCTGTTTACTGATTAATGTATACATATACAGTTAAAGTCAGAATTATTAGCCCCCCTTTTCATTTTTTTTCTTATTTAAATACTTTCCAAATGATGTTTAACAGAGCAAGGAAATTTTCACAGTATGTCTCATAATATTTTTTCTTCCGGAGAAAGTCTTATTTGTTTTGTTTCGGCTAGAATAAAAGCAGCTTTTAGTTTTTTTAAAAACCATTTTAATGACAAAATCATTTGCCCCTTTAAGCTATATATTTTTTGATAGTTTACAAAACAAACCATCGATATACACTAACTTGCCTAATTACCCTAACCTGCCTAGTTAATCTAATTGACCTAATTAAGCCTTAAAATGTCACTTTAAGCTGTATAAAAATGTCTTGAAAAAAATCTAGTAAAATATTATTTACTTTCATCATGGCAAAGATAAAATAAATTAGTTATTAGAAATGAGTTATTATTAAAACTATTATGTTTAGAAAAGTGGTGAAGATATATTCTCTCTGTTAAACAGAAATCGGGGGAAAATAACCTCTATGAGTTCATTTATTATATCAAACATAATGAAGATATTTTGAAGAAAGCTGAAAACCTGTAACTTGCACAGTAAGAAAAAAAAACTAATACTGTAAAAGTCAATGTTTACAATTTTCCGGCTTTCTTGAGTATTACTAAGCCTAGTTTGTGTTCAACAGAAGAAATAAAGACAAACAGGTTTGTGACAAGTGAATGATGAGTAAATGACATGATTTTCATTTGTGGGACAAACCTTTAAAAGAACATACTACTATTTTTCAGTGAAACATCTGAAGTAAAACAGTCCACTGCTGCATAATAGAAAAACTACTCAGTGTTTACGTTTATAGATGCTTCTTCACCATCATCGTTTTCTTTTATTGTTGTTCTGACGTAACCGGCTGACCATTTTGATGAAAATAACATTCAAGAATAAGAGCATGTGGTCAGAAGAAGGAGTGATTTGTTAGTCATGAAAACAGACTTGTGAATGTAGAGATTGAGCGTGAAACGTTTGTTGTCGTTCCGAGCATATCATAGCCCTATCGTAATACTTAAGCCACAAAATGACGTACACCTGGTCATATTCATAACTGTAATATTAGACTACTGTTTAAAGTACACGAGTTGCCTCACCCAAAGCCAATTAATACAAAATATAATAAGCTTGTTTTGGCGCCATCTGGTGGATTTGCTTGTCAATTCTAGACCTAGATTCTAGAAGTTTTCATTCAGAATTGATAGTAGCACAACGTTTTAACATTCTGCTGCCTTCTCCTCTGAAAATCATTGTTGTATAAAGCACTAATAACTCAATTTAAAAAAACATAATAGGCCTATGTATTATTAGCAGCTTTTTAATTAATATTTCTGAACTTTCATTAAAAAATTAATTATTTGAAATTGAAAATGACAAATAAATCACACCAAAACCTTTGTTTAATTTAAGTCTTTTTATATATGCAATAAATCAGTAGAGTTTTCCCCTACAAACATCAACATTGCAACAGCACAGTGAAATATTTTAACAGTGATATACAAACAACAACAAAAAAAAACATATAACATCACGGTGGTGCAGTGGGTGGCATTATCGCCTCACAGCAAGAAGGTTGCTGGTTTGAATCTCAGCTGAGTCAGTTGGCATTTCTGCATGGAGTTTGCTTGTTTTCCCCATGGTCATGTGGGTTTCCTCCGGATGCTTCGGTTTCACTCTCAAGTCCAAAGACATGTGGTACAGGTGAATTGGGTAAGCTAAATTGTCCGAAGTGAATGAGAGTGTTTGGATGTTTCCCAGTGATGGGTTGCAGCTGGAAAGGAAATCCGTTGTGTCAAATATATGCTGGACAAGTTGGCAGTTTATTCCGCTGTGGCGACCCCAGATTAATCAGAGGACTAAGCCGAAAAGAAAATGAATTATTAAATGATTCTCTTTTGGTTGGAGTAACTGTGGTGTTGTATAGAGGTTTTCAGTATTTTAAACATCCTAAATCTGTTGATCAACATGATCATCCATGTGTGAGGGACCCAAATACTAAAATTTATAAGATATTAATAGGTCAAATAAAACATAGTTTGGAAAATAATTTGTATCTATTAAGTTACATCATGGGGCGACTTGATGGCTAAGTGGTTAGCACTGTCGCCACACAGCAAGAAGGTCACTGGTTCAACTGCCGGCTGGGTCGTGGAGTTTGCTTGTTCTCCTCATGTTCAGGTTGGTTTCCTTCGGATACTCTGATTTCCCCCACAGTCCTAAGACATGCATGTATAAGTGAATTGAATAAACTCATTTGGGTGTAGTGTATGAGTGTGAATGAGTGTGTTTGGATGTTTCTTAGTACTGGGTTGCAGCTGACCCTTGAGGGTTAATTTTTCACTCATAGGTAGGCCTACTGTATTAAAAAAAAAATATTTATTTAATTATAATTTGTTTTTAAAATCTCACAAAAAGCCCTCAAAAGGCCCACATGGAATTAATGTCCACTAGTGTGGGCTTCTCACCGAAGGATAGTGAGTGGGTGAAATTACAATAAAAAGAATATGTTGTCATGATTTACTGATTATATAGTTTTTACAGCGTAGATTTATTACAGTCGCACTGTTGTCCCGTATCCCCAAACTCCAATGCCAGGGTAAAGAGGCTCAGTAAATTTAGTTTGCACCTTGTACAGCAGTGTCATTTTGTCAGAAACACTATAAAATGCCAGTGTCCCAGACTCATAGTCAACATAAACCCCAATCCTTGAGGACCTGGGCACAGATACAGCCGTGCTTTTGCTGTTGTGCATAAATGAGTATTCGGATTCAGAGCAGTACAAACTCCAAGACTTGTCGTTCCTTCCGAAGCTGCCAGGTTTGTCATTTCCTTTCCTCTGGATCCCTTTGTAGGTGACAGCAATGTCCACTTCAGTGCCTCTCCAGTCCAGCTCCCAGTAATATCGTCCTCCTGCCAGACCCGGCTTACACAGTGCCTGTTGCCAATAGTCGAAGCGGTCAGGATGATCTGGGTAAGGTCTGGGCTCATTGCTCATCTGCACCACAGTGTTTCTGTCTGACAGGACCAGGTTTGGATGGGCTGTTAAAGGATCTATTGATAGCTGACAGGAATCTAGATGGAAAAGGGGTGTTTAGATTAATCAGCATCAACAATGTGTTTAGATAAAATGAGAATCTCACTATTTCTGAACTTACATTCAAAGAACTCCTCTCGTTTTGCTGGGTCCACCGTCTGGAGAATTTTAACCTCATTCACTGCAGATAGAATTTTGACATGTGTAAAGGATTTATAATTGGATAAATTACATTATTGATAAAAGATGAAAGGGGTTTTAAGCATTAAGGCAACAAGGTATAATATTGCTACAGTTACTTTTTCCTCAGAACCTTAAGCTGCAGTGCCTATAAAAGACACAAGAGGACAATTTCCCATGTTCTTTTGCTCCTTTGATTGTGTATTGTACATTTTTCAGCTATGTGTCTTAATCTGGATTTTGTTCTCTATGTATTTAAACCCATTTGTTTTGTCATATGATTCTGGATGATGTTTCTGCTTTTTGTTGTGAGTTGGTGTGGTTTAGTTACTTGCCATTCAGTCTATTTAAGTATTACAGTGCTACTCCAAAATACAAGCCTAATTAATTGTATTAGATCACTTAATATATTTTCCATTATCCTTGAATTTTTATTGCAGAGTTTTTATGGATTTATTAGCCATTAAATTTATTTAATCATTAATCATTAGTAGTATATAAAACTGGTGCGTGCAGAGCAGGCAGTTAGATTTTTAGCCTGCTGAGGAGCTGAACTCTCAGCTATCAGCTGGAGACCCAGCTGTTGTAGTATGTTGTGCCGAGACGTTCCCCTTCAGTGGGAACTCCTACGTGTGTCTGGAGAACACTTTTGGAAGAGTGACCAAGCAGCAATACCAGACATCGTACTGGGCCAGGCACCCAGCTGCTCCGCTTAGTCGGGTGCTGGGGGCCTCAGGGGAACTCTCTAGGGTTCGCCAAACGGGGAACTCACTTTAGCAGAGCCGAATAACGCATGCATCTCCGGGTTAGGAAGCATGGCGCAGCAAGCGTTTTTGACACCAAGCTTAGTTTTCTCCTGATTGACCAGGGTTACCCAGTAATCGGGAGGATACCGGCTCTACTAGAAGATTATCAAATTTTGCAAATGTATTAGGTGTCACTCAGCCTGCAGATCTACAGATATCTGTGATAGAGGTGACCCTTTTTATTCATGACAATGCAACCAGCAGAGCTGTGAGGGGTCCGTGAGCCCAAAGGCAGCGGAAAAGCCCCCACTGCAATCCTCAGTCTTGCTTTTGTGCTAACCGGCTTGCGGAGTGCAGCAGGGGTGGCACACCCTAATGCTAGAGTATGCTGTGATTTCAGTTGAGCAACAGTCAAGCCCTCACAGTGAGAGAAAGATCTGTCCATGATTACTGTCTCGTGTTCATCATCTGGGGTGAGGAAACTACAGGATCCAGAAACGCACAGTCGGAACAACATTTTTAAAAAGACATGACGCTTTACTGTGTTGCTGTCTTAGGGGATCTGCTCTTTTAGTAGTAACTGGTCTTTTAGCTACCAGCGAGACATTCAAGAGACGGGAAAGGAGCCCAGTTCGACCGCCGCTGACACATTGTCGCCCACACTGGTAGGAGAATTTGTTTCATAATCAGCGTGGCAAAAAGCACTCTTCGGTCTGTGTGAGGCTCTAAAGAAAAAATCTAACTACTTGCTCTGCACACGCCAGTTATATACTCTACTAATGTTTAATATTCTTTGAAATTGTTTAAACTGCAATAATATTTCACAAGACAAGTGTAAAAAAGTTACACGTGTATGCTAAACAGCTTTAAATTACTGTATTCCCACATAAGTCTACACTACACACAAAGACAAAGTAAAAAACACTTCTGTGGTAAGTTTGCAACATACGGTATATTTATGAGTTTTGACAACCTGCTGAAGAGATTTTGTTCAGTTCTTCCTTGCTTATATCTTCCATTTGCACCTTTAAGTCAGAGATGGCTTTCTTTGCATTGTCAAATGTGTGGTGAGGCGCTAATGTCACCTTAGACAAATCTTCATATCCAGAAGGAGCAGAAAGAGACTGCCAGCTCTAGGGGAAATAAAGTAGCTGTTTTATTTTATAATACTTTAGAGAACTACATACAAACACTGGTTTTTGCTCAGTACCTGTAAGAAATGAATGTGATCATCAGACTGTGAGAGCTGCTCCAAGTCAGTGTGTTTCTTCCTTAACAGGGTAATCTCTTCCTCTAGTCTGGCCAAATGTCTCTCTGCATTGGTCAGCAGAAGGACTTCTTGAGCTCGAATCATCTCCTTCACTTCTCCATGCCTCCTCTCCAACGCTCGCAGCAGCTCAGCAAAAATACGTTCATTCTCATCCAGCACACTCTGTGATGAATGCTATCATGATAGAAAAACAAAACATCAACGTGACAGTTATATCCTTAGATTTCATTTACCAATTACATTTGGCACTCTTATAAATTGGAAATTTATATATGAATCTTATATATGGAAATTTAATGTTCCATAAAACCTTTTTTTATAGTGGAAAAAGTTAAATAAAAATTCAATGTCCAAGAAAACTTCTGAAAGGACCCTTAACGCAGGGGTGTGCAAATTTGTTCCTGAAGGACCAGTGTCCTGAAGAGTTTAGTTTTAACCACAATTAGACATACCACAACCAGCTAATCAAGTTCTTTTTAGGTATACTAGAAACTTCCAAACAGGTGTGTTGAAGGTAGTTGGAACTATGCAGGACAATAGCCCTCCAGAACTGAGTTTGGGCACCCCTGCCTAAACAGAATACTGAGGGCGTACTCACACTATGCTATCCGTACCGTGCCCAGGCCCATTTCCCGGATTGTTTGAGAAGTGCGAGTGCGCTGAATCGGGCTCAGGCACGGTTGACTTTGCTGGCCCTGGCCCGGTTGAAAGAGGTGGGCCTGAGCGATGTTCACTTGGACTTTAGCGCGGTATGCTTGTGTGTGAGTGCAAAACGAAAAAAAGCCAGAAACTGAAAGCGAGATGTGACTTTTAAGGGATTGTATCACATGACATATGGATTTATTAATCATTCTTACTGTTCAGTGAACGCAAACTGCCGTAGTTCATTAAAGACACAAACCCCTCACTAAACGACAGCTGCGCACTTTTAGCAAACCTCCTAATTCCTGCAGCACGAGGGCTTTATGATTGTTTATGAGCGTCAAAAGTGGCTGATCTGTTCGGCGCAATATCTGACTGCGTCACAGCATCCCTAAGGACTAAAGCGATATAACTAGAGAAATCTCCACTATGCTGAGCGAGAGTGCTTACTGCTTTCAGTGCAGCATCGATGACGTAAGCGTGCCCAGGCCCAATTGTAATGTGAGTGCGGGCCGTCGGGGGAGACGGGAGAGGGGACAAGCGTGCTTTGGCCCGGTTTGAGGCAACTGTACATAGTGTGAGTACGGCCTAAGTTAGGGCAGAGCTTTCGGTCACACTTTATTTTGATGGTCCGTTTGTTGACTTAAGTAGCATTGCATCTACATGCCAACTAATTCTCATTAGATATAATTAGACTGTTAGGTTGGGGTTAGGATTGAGGTTAGGGTTAGGGTTAATGTAAGTTGACATGTACTTGCAAATTTTATTATAGTCAGTTAAATGTCTGTTGAAGGAGCAGTATCAACAGATATTAAGCAGACAGCCGACTAATACGAAAATGGACCATCAAAATAAAGTGTTACCAAACTTTCATTTTGTTCATTATTTCCTGGTAGCAAACTAACAGTAAGAGAGGAATGGTTAATTATTGGAATAGGATATAAGAATATGAAAAAAAAGAGTAAATAAATTTTAAAGGCTGAAACAGATGAAAAAACATAAAACATAAGTGTAAATATATTACATACAAAAACTAACTTTTAAATAAATTAGAATAGGATCTTTCTAAAATAAATTAAGACTTTTATTCACTAAGTTTGAAAGGTTTTCAAACTATTTTATTGGCAAGCTAGGAGATTGTCTAGAGTTAGAGGAGGCGTCAGTGAACTCCTCAACATCCAGTAAGCCAATTACAATAACGACATCAAATTTAAACAAAACTTCAACACTTGTTAAATATATTTAAGCAACAGATTAGCATATATTTGCAATATTAATATGCAATGTTTTTGCGATCATTCATTTAACCTTTCCATAAACCACCACCTTAAAGTCGTGGAGGGGTTTAAAGGCCTGAGTGATCATAGGAGCTATGTTGTCAGGAGCTAATTGCCTAGTAGGGTCTCCCAAGGCAAAAAAAAGTCAGGTGGCAGGTCAGGAGGAGGAGGAGTGGATCTTGTTTTGTTTATTGAAAGAAAATTGTAAAGATGCTAAGACCACTCACATGTAAAATCAAAATCAATAAAAACTTAATCACAATATATATATATATATATATATATATATATATATATATGCAGTGTTGGGCAAGCTATTTGAAAAATGTAGTGAGCTAAGCCATTAGCTACTCTATTTAAAATGTAACTTAACAACACTAAAAGCTACCCCCTGGGAAATGTAGCAAGCTAAACTAAAAGCTACATGGCAAAAGTTGCTTAGCTGCATCTAAGCTATTATTACAATTTTTATTTTTAAACTGAAGAAACTTATAAATTCAAGTCAATCATATCTTAGTGATCAATAAAACTGAAAATGAAACACGAGGAATAATAGTTCAGTTCAGTAATTTACTGTAAATAATATGCTATACTAAACAGAAAAAAAAACATTCCAAATAATAAATTAAAGAAATCCAATAAAACCAGCTGTAACATATTTAAAATACTATAGTGATTTATAGTTAAGGGAAATATTTTGAAATAAGCATTATACATATATATATATATATATATATATATATATATATATATATATATATATATATATATATATATATATATATATATATATACTAAAGTATTTTTATTTTTTGAGCACAGCATTAGAAGATATTGCATTTTAACATGTACTTCTCGAGGTATGGTCACAAGGAGTCCTGCTTCAATAACTTCTCTCCCTCAGTCAACTTTCCATCAAGCAAGTTTCGGTTGGCGACGTCGCTAACCAGAGGTGGCATTAACGCACTAAAAAAATGTTGTTGAACACCATAAAACAGGAAGAATAATTCCTCATTCTCACCATCATATGGCTTTACTTTCATCGGCTAGACACCGGCCTCACAGCTCTGTGAAATGTCAGTGGCATCACTATTTGATCTGCGATTGGTAAATGTAGCTTGTGTGGACGCTACTGCGCTACTTGACTAATAAAATAGCTTAGCTACTGAAAAGCTATTTGATTTATAAAGTTGCGACGCTACCGCCACGCTACTGAGAAATGTAGTTAAGCTAGTAGCATCACTACTTGTAGCGACACTGCTGCCCAACATTGATTATTTGCATAGTTATATGTTAGTTTTATTAAAAACTTAGGTTTAGGCTTAGGTTTGTCCATCTGTTTTGGACCACATGGGGCATAGGACATGGGCTTAGCCATAACTCAATTTTTTAACCACACTTCGTTATTGTGGCTCATTTATTCTTTTGCTGGAAATTAGAATTTAGAAATAGTTTTCAAACAAATTTTTGCTCTAAAGAAATTAAATTAATTACGTAGGCTAATGGATGTCTTCAGTGAGTGTACAACACTGTTTCCTTACACCATGAAAGAGAGAAACAGAAAGTAAAGACCGATTGGAGGAGGCTCATTCTTTATCCTCGCGCAGATGGTCTGTTTAACTGTGTTTTCGCTAGCGAAGTGTTCAATTGTTCCACTTATAAAGTCCGCCATGTAAATAGCAAATGCGCCATGGCACGATGCAACTGACTCTTAAAGAGGATGGGAGATGAGACTCTGTTTCTGACTCAGGTTTATTCTCAAAACACACTCATTACTCATTAATAGAATTAGCTTAGCCCTGTTAGATCATGCGGCGCAGAGCTTATTTTTTTTGTCCTCAAAATAGAAAAAGTGGATTCTGACACGCCTTTAATGCTTTTGCACCCTACACTTTAGACTTTGCACTTAGATTGTTAAAATAGAGCCCATAATTTCTGAAAGGCTTACCTTTAGAGATGCCACTGCCTGCCTGAGATCTTGCCATTTCTTCATCCTTTCCTCAATTTTCTGCTGTGAAGTCATTAGTTTAGCCCCAAGCTGTTTCTGTTGAAAAAGTTAGTGTTTTAACGTTAATCTTCTCACAGTTAATCGTTGCACTGCATATTGACTTGTATCATGTCATCATTTAGTTGCATTGAGCATGAGTGGTTGTCTACTGAGCATCTCACCTGCTTTTCCGTCCTTTCAGCTGCTGCTGAAACAATGTCATGTTTTTTATGTTCCTCCATAATACACAAGACACAAACACACATTTGGTCAGAACGACAGAAAACCTCCAGAAGTTTGTCATGTTCGCCGCAGATCTTTTCACGCAGTTGCCCTGTCGCCGCCACCAGTTTGTGCTTCATGAGAGCTGGATACTCATAATGAGCCTGGAGATGCGCTTCACAAAAGGAGGTTAAGCAAGTCAGACACGATTTTACTGCCTTGTTCTTCTTAATCATACAAAAATCACACAGCACGTCTCTAGAGCTGCTGCGGCTGCTGGAGCTGCTGTATCTTCCAGATCGGCGGGGTTTCTCCTGAGTGCCATATCGGCTTTGGCTTGCTGTACTGCTCCGAGACATGTTAGAAAGCTGAATGTTAAACAGAGTTTCAATGAAACTGTACTGACTCATTCATTTTATAGAGGAATGTGAACCATGTGTGATAAACCAGTTAACCAGGTTAGAGGATGACATCTTCTGAATGGGTGTGACAGCTTATGTCAGAAGAGAAAAGGAAAAAAATGTAACGTAAACAATGAGACTTCTTTATACAAAGGCCTTGTTGATGGTTAACCATAAAGTGGAAACAACTGTGGTTTTACAAGTGGTTAAACACCTCTTTGGTGTTGAAAATATGCTGTGACAGAATAATGTGACAGTTTCCTCCAGTAGTTAATGAAAGCTAGATTTCACTATATAAACTGAGTTTTCATTGTTGACAATGTACACTTTAATCAATAGCTGCATGCAGCAGTCATTTTTGATAACACAGATCTGAGACTTTTTAAGGGTGCTTTCACACCTGTGAATCGATTCAGTTGTTCCAAAACAGAGATTACAAATGTTACATAATTGCTCTTTGCTCTTGGATCGGATCACTTTCTCACAGCAATCGATCCGCTCCAGAGTTCGTTTTAATCGAGCCGAGACCACCTCATTCAAGCGATCTCGGAGTGATTGATTTGGCGCAGATCTGAGAGCGATTGGTGGTTTCAAATATGCCAAACGAACCACGCTAACTGGCCAAACGGGACAGGTTGCGAAACAAAAATGTAGGTGTGAAAGCACCCTAATTTAATGCTTAACAAGGTTTGAATAAAATCTCATTCTCTATAAGTTTACCATCAAGATATTTTCAGACATTTTCAATCCACTGGTTGAATGGACATTGATGATCTTTTATAAACAAACCGCCTTTTTTAAAGAGACTTGAATCAGGTTACATTTACACTAATATGTTTTAATTTTTAAAACGTTTCAGTTACACCTTCCATCCACACTACCCTGGAGTTTTCCAGCGCAGAAAACTGAGCATTTTGAAAATGCTGAAGAGGCCGTTTTCATTTTAAAACGCTGCTGCTCTGTGTCAGTGTGGATGGGGGAAACGGAGACGTCTAAAACAGAGGTGTGGCTGCAAACATCTGATTGGGGCGTTTTCCTCAATATTAAGTGCACAAATTTTGCAGCCTTTTCTGAAGTTTACACTTTAAAAGTTTGATATGGAAAACAAACTCCAGAGGACATGTCTGGTAAATCTTTAAAGGGAACAGTGTAGGCTACTTTATAATCTCATTTGCATCACCCTAGCTACTTTAATGATCTTAACAACAAAACAAAAACATGATACAAGGAACTGCCTATTTTCATTTTGATACTAACAACAGACACAAAAAATGTTTAGGCATTGTGTAGCTGCATATTTTATGACCGTCATCTTCACTGTATGCATATTTATAACAGAATGGAGCCTATAACATAAGTGCCTTTTATTTTCATTGAAAAAAATCAAACATGCCCTGTCTCTTTTGCTGAATATCAGGTTTAATAATCACTAATAGTCATTATAAAAGTATAATGTTTATACAATATAGGAAATAAAGGCAGGCAATCAGTCAATATGCAGAATTAGTGTACTACCTGGAGCTCAGACACGGGCATACACTGCAGAGCATGCCTGAGTGTGTAAGTGGTCACATGATGTGTGTTTTTGCGGCGTTTTAAAACTAAACGGGGCCTGAGTTACTGACAAAAATTAAAAATTCTAGAAATCACATATTTGGAACGAACAACTCTTGCTGTGGCAGAAAGTGTCAAATTGATCTTCATCTAGACTAGCTTACAAATTCATTGAAAACTCTTCTTTTACACATGTTTGTAAAACTTTAAAATTGACAATTTTATGAAGATTTAAAGAAAAAAAAATGATTTAACTTTTTTTAACTTGCACTTGCTGACCAATCACAATCTCAAATGTTTTTCAAAACCCATTTTACATAACACAGTCACTGAAAAATATATTATTCCCAGATAAAAGAATGTCACTTTTCAGAAATTCTATGACTTATGAAAACTAGCTCAGACAAACACCAACAGACACACTACAGACCCAATGACTTTTATAAAACCCGATTTAGTTGTACTAAAATGGTCTGAGCAAAAGTCAATCATCAAAATTATTTTTCAGAATTGTTCACATCTAATCACTTGATAGCATGACAGCAATTTTTATTGTCTACATAATTAATATGTAGGGAAAAAAAGTGTTCCAGAAGATTACAGGAACTTTTTAAACTTGATAATGTGCACCTTTTAGTTACATTTTGTAATAATTTTGTTCTTTTAAACACATGGTATGGGAACTGGGATTTATTTTGTATTGTGTATTGTTAGTAAATGTTAATAAATGGTTGTAAATGTTAGCTAGCTGTTGTGGCCCGTGAGAGCGCATTGGCTGCATGGTTGAGCTCGCCCAGAATATGAATGGCACGCAGCGATCTCAGCCACGTGTGACTTTAGAGGAGTTGATGGCGAGCGAGCTGAGAAATGCAACGGGAACGTATACCTCCCATATGGTTGATATAAGCCATCATTGCCATGCTGTCCCTCCTGACCAGCAGTGTTTCTGCTCCAGCACCAGTGAAAATCGGCGGAGAGGAGGATACACTGCCAGCTGAAGAGGCCGAAGAATCGCTAGGGCACATTCTGCAAGATTGGTGAAAACCCGCATAGACAGAGATCTAATTAAAGCGAAGCCATCCCAGAGGATGGACCAGCGCTCACACTCAAAGCTTGGACAGAGCGCACTGATGAGGAGCGAGGGGTCTGTGGGCCTGGAGGCGATGGAAAGCCCCCACTGTAAGCCTCAGGCCTGTCCGAGTGTTAATTGCTTGGCAGGGAGCAGCAGGGATGATGCACCCTAATGCAGGGGTATGCCGCAACCTCAGTTGTGCAACAGTCAAGATCTCACAGTGAGGGCAAGAACTGTCCGCGAGCACTGCTTCAACATGCTGGACCCACATGCTTGTGCCTGTCATAGGGGGCGAGGAAACCACTGCATCCAGAAACGCAAGGTCGGAACAACATCTTTAAAAAGATGCGCAGGTTGACTGTGTGCTCTATTAGGGAATTCTGGTCTTTGAAGTAGAAACTGCTCTTTTAATGCACCAGCGAAATGCCCAGGGGATGGGAAGCCCAAATCAACCGCCGCTGCCTTGTCGTCTTCCGCACTGGTGAATACTGCTGCTTTCTCTCTGGAAATCAGCTTAGCAGAAAGGGTTCTTCAGTCTTGAGAGAGGCTCTGAAGCTAAATTCTAGAGGCTCACTCCACAGTGGGCACTAATATAGGCGCTAATGACTAATCAGTATCAGCTGTAGAGCTGAGCTCTGCCAATTAATTTGGCTTTCATTGGCCCGTTTTCTTACTCTTCAGAGTAATGGGTTGTCTTATGCACTCCCATAGTGTGTTCCTAATGCACGTTGGAGTTCCCTTATGAAGGGGAACAGAGTGGGTTGATGAACATGAAAGTCTTGAGTCTTGAGAGAGGCTCTGAAGCTAAATTCTAGAGGCTCACTCCACAGTGGGCACTAATATAGCTAATGACTAATCAGTATCAGCTGTAGAGCTGAGCTCTGCCAATTAATTAGGCTTTCATTGCCTTGTTTTCTTACTCTTCAGAGTGATATGTTGACTTATGCACTCCCATAGTGTTTTCTAAATGCACGTTGGAGTTCCCTTATGAAGGGGAACAGAGTGGGTTGATGAACATGAAAGTAAAGTTGAACATCTCCTGTGGCCTACACAGTCACTAGATCTAAATATTATTGAGCAATTTTGGGGTATTTTGAGAGGAGCGAGTTGAAAAACGTTTATATCCAACAGCATTACGCAGTGAACTGGCCACTATTCTGCAAGAAGAATGGTTCAAATTCCTCTGGCCACTGTGCAGGACTTGTATCTGTCATTCCCAAGACAAATTGATACTTTATTGGCTGCAAAAGTAATACACCATACTAATGAATTATTGTGCTCTAAAACCAGGTGTTTTAGATTCATTGTCCAACCCCTGTAGTTATTTTCTCTTCATAATCACTTGATACTAAACTTTTTTTATGTGGTATTGTCATACTTTTCTGATGCATATGGCTTTCATTTGTCCATTTGTAAAAAGAGAAGTTCTGCATCTTATGCTATATTTACAGAAAGCAATACCATTAGAGAGATTGTCATGTGAAGAATGTGCAATGCATTGTTTTATTTGACCAAATTACATTCAGTTAAAAAAAAAAAAACATGTTTAGTGCATTGATTATTTCTGTAAAATTGCTTTCCTGAGTCGTATCCAGAATCTCATGTTGCTCAAAGGGTCTCTGCTCCACTTCAGGTATGTGTTCTTCTTCAGATGCTTATGTAGACCAAACACTTTCTTGGTTTTTCTCTCCGCCACATCTTCCAGAATAATGATGATGATATTGGCATTGCGTTCCATCAAAAACCGAGACTGAGCTAATTCAAACTCAAAGCGACACCAGGAACTATCAATGAAGTGTTGAGACACAACCACAATGATCTTACGGCTGCCCATTATTCCTTCATCTATAATGTTGGAGGCGATTGACTTCCCGGCTTGAAAGTCCCGCATGTGAAGGCAAAGCTGAATAGGTGGCACACCGTTCTCCAGATTCTCCATAAGTTCATTCATGACCCAAGCTTCATCATAGCTGGAGAAAATCACAAATGCGTCATAAGAACATTCTTGCTGTCCAGGTGATCTGTAGCCACTGAATAAAATAAAACAATACTGAACATAGAACCAGAATTTATAAAGCAAAATTGCTAACACAACTACAAACGTAACACAAATTACTGATAAAACAATTGTGAGTCTTTTCTTGTGCACACAGTAGTCAATGTCAAAGTCTGTTGCTTTGAAATCTGTATTTGCAGAAAAAGTTTTACACCGAATGTTTTCCAGTTGTTTTAAAATGTTTTGTTTTTGAATAATCCACAAAATAAAATCAGTCTGAGAGCAGGAGCAATCGATGGAGTTAGAGGACAAATCAAACTCAGAAAGGTTCATGGGCAACTTTTGTAGAACATCAAGTGGGATGGTGGTTATACTGTTTTTATCAATATACACTGATGTAAGATGTGTCAGCTCTGGTTGAGTTAAAAAGTCCAAAACCATCAATTTGTTTCGACTTAAATATAAATGTCGTAGTTTCTGCGTGCCAGTAAAAGATCTCATTGAGACTTTCTCAATGCCACACTGTGAAATGTCAAGAACCTCCAAGCTTGTTAGGTTTTGTAAGAAGTAACTCAATTTATCTCCACCAAAACTGTTTCCTGCCATTTTAAGAACAGTCAAATTATGCAGGTCCTGAAAAGTCAAGGTATTGAAATGAACACGTGTATAAGAAATATCCAAATACTTTAAATTTCTCAGATGTTTGAAGAATCCAAAGTAAAAAACTATGACTAGTTTTGTATGGTGGAAGTCCAACACTTCAAGCAAGTCAAGTGCAGAAAATGGCTCATTAACAAATGTTATTTCTGAGTTTTGACTAAGATTCAAGTATTGAATATTTGGTGTCCTTGGAAAAAGAATGGAACAGCATTCATGCAAAATCAACATGTTTCCACTCAAGTCTACATATTGAAGCAGGGGAAGGTCACTGACTCCAGTGAAGGTAATAGGAAAGGGACTCTTCATCACCAGTTTTTCCAAGCTTGGAATGTGTGAAATAAATGGTACAACAGATAATCCAGTGTCACTTAAATACAGTTCCTTAAGACGGTGGAATGGAATATGTTTCATACTGTTCATATATGCTTTTTTTATTGTGATTTTTGTTGCATTGACCATACAACGAAACAAGTGCATTTCTGAGTCAGACCATTCTTTTTGAACAAGATAAATTTCGTTAAAATTAATTGAACATAGACCATCAAGATAATCTGGAATTGACACTTTGATTTTTTCGTCCATTCTGTAACGTCCCACAAACAACTTATCCACGGTGAGGCCAGTGAGAGCTTTGTGACACTCTTTTTGTGCATTAAACGAAATGAAGGCAGCTAGCAGATGAAGCTCTCTGAGAATGACATCCTTGAAAGCTCCTGGTTCAATGTGTATTAATGGATTCCTAGACAGAATCAACGTCATATTTCTTCCAATCTCTCACAACACAGCAGTGTGATCCATTCTGATGATGGATATATTATTGGCATGTAGATCAAGTAAACTGAAGTCTTTGAAGGTGCTCATGAATGAAGGAAGAGTCATGGACTGGATGCAATTTGTTCCGACTTTAAGGTCCTGTAGCTTGGTAAGGTTATTAATTTGAAGTTGTAAGGATTCAAGACGAACATCCACAAGAACTAGTCTTTGCAGCTTGTATAAAGAATTCAAGCATTCAGGTGCTAAATATGTTATAGGGTTTCCAGTAAGAATCAATGTCATCAAATTTTTCACATTGTAGAAAGCATCTTTTTCAATCTGTCTGATGTAGCATCTGAAAGGACACAACATAAAAATAAAAACATAGAACACAATCATGTTTAAATTGTAACACACTGAAGAATAGTACTGATTTACCTTGTGAGATCCAGGAGTTGTAAATTCAACATCACAGGAAATACACGCTTATGTAACAAGGTCAAGAAATTGAAACTGAAATCCAGAGATGCCACAGAGAAGGGAAGACTACCAGGAATACAAGTCAGATTCCTTCCAGAACATGAATATTCCTTATTCTTTATCAGCTATTAAAGGACCAAGACATGTTTTACATATTTTATATTTGCATATACATTATAGTATACAACCCTAAATCAGAAAAAGTTGAGACAGTATTGAAAACGCAAATAAAAAAAGAAAGTAGCGATTTTTTAAATTTACTTTAACCTGTTTTTCATTGCAGACAATATGAACACAAAATACTTCATGTTTGTTCTGGTCAACTTTATTTCACTTGTAAATATACATCCTTTCCTGTCATTCAGACCTACAACATATGACAAAAAAGTTGGGACAAGTGCAATTTAGGGCTAGTAATCAGGTAAATTGTTTAAGCGATTTGAAACAGGTCATGTTAACAGGTCATTGAAATTATGATTTGTTACAAAAGCAGCATCCAAGAAAGGTCTAGTACTTTAGGAGCTAAGATGGGCTGAGGATTGTCAGTTTGCCAACAAATATGTGAGAAAATTATTAAAACCTTTAAAACCAATGTTCCTCAAAGAAAGATTGGAAGACATTTAGATATTTCACCTTCAATAATGCATACCATAATTAAAAGATTCAAGGAGTCTGGAGGAATTTCAGTGCATAAAGGATAAAGGCAAAAGCCTAAGCTGAACAACCGTGATCTCGAATCCCTCAGGCATCACTGCGTCAAGAATCGGCATTCATTTAAAAGCAATATTACCACATGGGCTCAGGACTACTTTGGTAAACCTTTGTCAAGTACCACAATACGTAGTTACATCCACAAATGCCAGTGAAAACTGTACTGTGCCAAAAGGAAGCCCTATGTTAACAGTGTCTAGAAGGGCTGTCGACTTCTCTGGGCTCGGTTCATCTGGACCATAAGAGAGTGGAAACAAGTACTGTGGTCAGGTGAATCAGTTTTTCAGGCATTTTTGTGAGAAATGGACGTTGTGTGCTCCGGACCAAAGAAGAAAAGGATCTTGCAGACTGTTACCAGCAACAAGGCCGAAAGCCAGGGTCTGTCATGGTATGGGATTCTGTCAGTGCTTTTGGCAAACTAACTTGCACTTCTGTGATATTTTGGAGCACAATATGCTGCGTTCTTTTCCAGGGATACCTATGCATATTTCAATAAGACAATGCAAGACCACATTCTGCACACATTGCAAAGTCCTGGCTGTGAAGGAAGAGGAAACAGGTAATTGACTGGCCTGTCTGCAGTCCCAACCTCTCTCCAATACAGAATAGGTGGCACACTTTGAAGCGTAAAAAATGCAACAACGAAGACCCCGCACTGTTGCCCACCTTAAGACTTGTTTGCAGGAAGAATGGGACAAAATTACACTTGAAACACTTCATCACTTGGTGTCTTCAGTCCCTAAACATCTTTTAAGTGATATGAAAAGGAATGGCAACATTATTCATTCATTTCCTTTTCGGCTAAGTCCCTTTATTAATCTGGGGTCGCCACAGCGGAATGAACCGCCAACTTAACCAGCCGCAACCCATCTCTGGGAGCATCCATACATGCTCATTCACACTCATACACTACAGACAATTTAGCCTACCCAATTCACCTGTACCACATGTCTTTGGACTGTGGGGGGAACCGGAGCACACGGAGGAAACCCACAAGAACGCAGGGAGAACATGCAAACTCCACACAACGCCAACTCCACTCAACGCCAACTGAGCCAAGGCTCGAACCAGTGACCTTCTTGCTGTGAGGCGACAGCACTACCCACTGCGCCACTGCGTCACCTATGGCAACATTACAAAGTAGTAAATGCTTTACAGTTACAACTTTTTTTTAAATATGTAGCAAGAACCAAGATTGGGATGCATGTATATTTAAAACAAAAACCACATAATCATGAGGAACACATTAAATAATGTTTGTTTTATTGTTTGCAATGAAATACCAGTCGAAGTAAAATTTAAAAAACTCTTCCTTTTGTTTTTAGATGCATTTTCTTAACTGCCCCAACCTTTTCTAATTTGGAGTTGTATTAAGCACAGGCTTATGTCAACACTTTCATAAAATCATGCTTATAAATATAGGCCTTTCAGGCACTAAATACATTGTTGTCTAATACATGAATAGCCAAAACTCACAAAAACATCTTCTGAATTTAGTTGAAAAAGGTGTCATGTGAACATACTCTAAATTTTAATTTAATTTAAAAACTACCTATGAATTATATTCTATAATAACATTTATTATAAAATATGTTTTAACAGAACTATGAAAGTCAAATTATCACAAAAAACATTAGATTACTGATAACATAGTATAATAATTATACTGTATCCTACAATATTGATTCTTAGGCTCACATTAACAGACCATATATTCTGTAGAACCTATTAGTAAATTACATTAACAATACAATCTATGTAATGTTCTTACCTCGGTACATTCCTGTCCTTGTCCAGCATTCACAAGAATTAAGATTAAACTTAGGAAAATCATCCGTTCCCCATTTGACATGATCATTGTTTAAAATTATCTTACTTAAGTTAAGATATATGGTAAATTTAACGTTAAAAAAACAAAACAAAATTGTCAGCAAATTCAAATACAAATTTACTAACACGATAACAGCTCTTTTATCACGGCATCTGGAATATTACTTAACAAACTCACTCATCGGTGGATGTGAAGCAGTAAGCTCTCATCTAAAACACATACCAATTGACATAAATGTTTGTTCTCTTTTATTGTACTTTGAGCAAGCAACTCTCACTTCTCCTTTTGTTTCAACGAGGGAAGTTATTTGTTTATAATGTGCACTCCAAAGATGAACAAAAGCTAATTTATTAGCGTTTCTAGCTATATAATTTACCCTGCGAAAAGACTGTCGATCAGAACATAGAGATCAATGATTGTTTTATACATTTGTGGTTGCAAGGATGACTGATTATTTATTTAACATATAATACATGAAGGATAGATGCAATATTACTGCTATGTAGCAACAATTGCTTTCCTGAGTCGTATCCAGAATCTCATGTTGCTTAAAGGGTCTCTGCTCCACTTCAGGTATGTGTTCTTCTTCAGATGCTTATGAAGACCAAGCACTTTCTTAGTTTTCCTCTCCGCAACATCTTCCAGAATAATGATGATGATGTTGGCATTGCGTTCCACCACAAACCGAGACTGAGCTAATTCAAACTCAAAACGACACCAGGCACTATCAATAAAGTGTTGAGACACGACCACAATGATCTTACGGCTGCCCATTATTCCTTCATCTATAATGTTGGAGGCGATTGACTTCCCCGCTTGAAAGTCCCGCATGTGAAGGCAAAGCTGAATAAATGGCACACCGTTCTCCAGATTCTCCATCAGTTCATTTATGACCCAAGCTTCATCATAGCTGGAGAAAATCACAAATGCGTCATAAGAACATTCTTGCTGTCCAGGTGATCTGTAGCCTCTCAGTAAAATCCAACAATAGCGCAAATAAAATTGAAACCTGTAAACCAAGATTGATAACACAACTATAAACACTATACAAAATACTGGTAAAACAATTATGAGTTTTTTCTTGTAGACACAGTGGTCAATGTCAAAGTCTGTTACTCTAAAATCTGAGTTTGGTGAAATAGTTTTGCACAAAATATTTTCTGGCTGTTTCAAAACTCTCTGATTATTGATAATCCACAACATAAAATCAGTCTGAGAGCAGGAGCAATCAATTGGGTTAAAAGACAAATCAAACTCTGAAAGGTTCATGGGCAACTTTTGGAGAATGTCAAGTGGGATGGTGGTTATACTGTTTTTATTGACATAAAATGTTGTTAATTGTTTAAGGTTTGGGTCGGTGAGAAAATCTATACTCATTAAATTGTTTCCTCTGAGATTCAAATGTCTAAGTCTTTGAAGGTTTTTAAATGACGTTAAATGTATTTCTACCACATGACAGTATGACATATCAAGGTGCTCTAAAAATGTAAGATTGTTAAATAAATAATTTGCTACATCACCTTGAAAACTATTGCCAGCCATCTTGAGAACTTTAAGACTGCTCAGTCCATAAAAGCAATATACGTTAACAAAGGTTACGCTTGAATAAGAAATATCCAGATACCTCAGATTTTTTAAATTAGACAAAAGTGTAAAAGATCCTATACCTAAAAGCTTTGTATGATGAAAATCTAAAATTTCTAGGGATTCAAGTCCTTCAAATCCTCCTTTATCAAGAGAAATTTGTGGATTTAAGCTCAAATTTAAATATCTGATTTGAGGAGTACCAGATAAAACATCTATGCAGCATGATTGTAGAGTAATTTGGTTTGAATTAAGATCCACATACTGAAGTTTCGGCATGTCTAAGAATTTAGTTGAAGAACTTGAACTTGAGTCTAAGAACTTGAGTTGCACTGTTGTGTGTAAATACAAATTTTTCTAAAGTACGAATGTGTGAAAGTTGTTTACCTGGCACAGTATATAACTGAGTGTTAATCAAGTAAAGCTCCTTGATTTTATGAAAAGGCACATACCCAATGACACGAATTACACCACCCTTAACAACTACAACTGTGGCATTAATCATACAGCGAAAGATATTCATTTTCCAGTCAAGTCTTTCCTTCATGTAATAATATGCCTCATAAAAATGAATAGAGCAAAGACCATCGAAATAGTCTAGATCTGATGGGTAAAGTTTGGGATCATCTTTATACATTCCAAACATCAGCCTTGTGACATTAAGGCCATGCAGACCATTTAGACCCTGTTTCTTTGAAGCAAACGAAACAAATGTGGATCGGATGTCCAGCTCTACAAGATGAACCCCTTTAAAAGACCCTGGTTCAATGTGTAGTAATGGATTCCTAGAGAGAATCAATGTCATGTTTTTTCCAATCTCTCGAAGCACAACGGTGTGATCAGTTCTGATGATGGATATATTGTTGGCATGTAGATCAAGTAAACTGAAGTCTTTGAAGGTGCTCATGAATGGAGGAAGAGTCATAGACTGGATGTAATTTGTTCCAACATTGAGTTCCTGTAGCTTGGTAAGGTTATTAATATTAAGCTGTAAGGATTCAAGACCAATATCCACGAGAACTAGCCTTTGCAGATTATATAAAGTATTCAAGCATCCAGGAGCATAATATGTAATAGGGTTTCCAGTAAGGAACAAAGTAGTCAAATTCTTCACATTGTAGAAAGCCTCATTTTCAATCTGTCTGATGTGGCATCTGAATAGAAATATATTTATTTAACATTATTTATAGACAATACCAACTGAAAACAACTGAGACGGTAACACAAATGTGCTTACCTTGACAGATCAAGAACTCTCAGAAAAGTGAAAACTGGGAATACAGTTTTCTTTAACCATTTCAGGTCATTAAAACTAAAATCAAGAGTTTGAACTGAGGAAGGAATTCTGGATGGTATGTAGCTTAGGTTTCTTCCCATGCATGAGTAATGAAGATTTTCAATAATCTAAAATTTAAAAAAAAAATGTATTTATATAAACAAATAATATTATATAAGTATTGAAAAAATGTATTTAAATTTAGAAACTTACTTCTGTGCATGATTGTCCAGCACCTATTGGAAAATATATTATGAAAGCACTTATAGTAAAGAAATTCATCTTGTGTGATCTCAACTGTTCCAGTCATTTAAATGCCTGCCTGCTTTTGGAGATGTTATTACTTTTGAGGAACTGATGTCATGGTTTTCAACAATAGGGTGCTATTGATGAAATTACATTATAGAGAAGCGAGGATAATTTCCTAATGTTGAAGGAAGAAGTACCATTCTGAATAGAGGAATTACTGGCCTGAATATTTTATTGCCTCTGCAAGTCTTGCGCCTTTTTATAAATGTAATTGTATGGGTACATTTATTTGTGTGGTCAAAACATTTCATCAAAGAACTTCAGATCATTTGAACCTGGAAGGCTAGTAAATGACAAGTGGCAGGACAAGAGCTATGAAAGTATAACAACAAAAGTCCAAAGTCCAGAGGGTTGGTGGAGTTGAGACAAGAAGGTGGACCCACTGAGAGGAATAAAGACTACTGGGGAACTGAGGCCTACCACAGAGGAACAAACAGCATTGAAATTAATTTCAGTGAAGCACACTGAACAAATACAGTGGAAGAGTACTTGGGCAGAACTAAAACAACACAGAGATGGTTTAGAGTCTCACTGGCAGAGACAGATACCCCAAGGCCCCGCATAAGCCCATCAGCAGAAACCCTGTTATCAAAGTTCTGAATAGGTAGATATCTTCAATATCCCCAGAGACAGAACAGCCAGGCACATGGCGCACCACCCCTCCCACCCGTCCATCCCGTATCCAGCTGCAAACGTCACTGCAGGACAAGTGGGCTCTCCTGAGCCCAAACTTCTCGTCGAGAACATGGTGTCAATCGCGTTCGGAGACCAGTTGATCAAATCCATAATTCCTTATTCGTTTTAATAGCAGGGCACGGAGAGCCTCAGAGATAGAATAAGATGAAGACAAGAGGAGCTAGCCAGGAGAGATATGGGACGGAGAGGAAAAAAGTTCCGAATCCGATCATCTCCGTATGCAGAAAATTCGGATCCAAATTGAGCTGCCGATCCATTGAAATATTTGATATATATCAATAGTTATATCATATAGTTCTATAAATATAACTTCTGCAACTATACCGTAAGCGACCGGATGCAATGCAGTTCAGTGTTGTCCAAGCAGGTCCATGTGCGCGAGAAGAGAAATAGCAGTTTTTTTGTTTATTGTTTATATCAGAAAAAGTATATATTACGAAAAACATTTCGATCCATAAATGAGTAATAAAAATAGAATTTTTTAATGCTGTCCCCACATTCCCTCCAATATTTTTTTAGCGGTCTATGAGTTTCTAGTATTCATTCATTCACCATGGTGAATGCTCGGCGAATAAAGGCTCTTGCTTTTTGCTCTCCTTTATTTCGGACACTGCGAGATCAGCTTCTCTCCCACAGTGCATGACATTACTGAAAATTCTGTGCGATTGCCAAAGGCCTTTTCTGACAGTTGTGTCCAAATGTCGTGTGCAGTGGAAAGGTGGCTTTACTGTTTGTTTGACATTCTGGCCAGATTTTGATTATATCCGGGTAACCTTTGATTAGGTCGAATTGGATCGGTCCATCTCGAAACCAGCTGACTGTTGCTGATTGGACCACATGCTTAACATTATTATTATTACTAGTATCTTGATCATCATCATATTCACATCTTGTTAGAGATAAAAGCTGCCTGCGTGTAAAAACAATGCTTTTTTTTTTAAATGGTGCAGCCCTTGCTATTTGCCAGATGGCCAATCCACCCCTGATCACTAAAATTAAAGGATCAAAGAGACCAATTAAAACAGTATGTCAGGGAGGGATTCGGAGACCTAAGGAAATAATTCATAACAAGGAAGCAAGGATACTCTACTAGTAGGGAGGTACACAGTAAATCACTATACTGGGAAAGTACTACATATGGAAAACCTCTGTAGTTGGATGTGGTAGATCAAGGTCCCAGGACAACGCTAGAGTTGGCTGGCCTGAATTAATTTTTTGACAGAGAATGTTTGCAGGTGCACTTGTTGCCCAGGGGCACCATGATGTCTTGATTCACCAGTGGATACAACCCAGCTGTATCTATAAGAGGTATTGCCTAATTTAGGACACATCTTGGGTATGGTGCATGTCCCATCAGGGTTACTTGACACAAGTGTGGCTATCACCAACCTATAGAAAATGAATGTTTTAATCAAAAACAAAACTGGCTAAGCGTTTGACTGTGTCCTGCTTAATGGTGCTCAGAAACACATTTTGAATCGCTTGTTCATATTCCATATCTGTTGTGGCTTGTTTGGACAGAAATATATATATATATATATTTTTTTTTTTGCTTCAGCACAATCTATACAGGTTTATTTGGGGAGATTCATTGTAATTCTGTGAACCCAATGATAAATCATAAAACAGCTCAGTCTAAACCACTGCGGGATACTCAGGGTCAATTGGACTTTGAGCTCATGTACTTTTAAATGGTTTAAATCTATAGCATGTCTGCCATAAAGATGGCAATAATGCACTGAAATGTTTTAACATAATAATGAGACAAAGTCACCTTAATTTCACAGTTGCTCTTATAATGGCATTTTCTTCTATGCAACTCACTCAATAAACAGACGATGATCTGCACTACGTCTCCCACTAATGTTCATTGTGGGTAATACAGACCATCAGTCCAGCATAACTGATAATAAAGCAATACCTTAAACAACAGGCATCATAATAAAATATAAAAAAATGCTGTTTACATCAGGCAATTTACAAACAATAACTATGTTGTCAAATGAATATGTTGATTACGACAGAAATAAAAAAATTTCTGTGAATGCAAAACGCAAAATTAAGGCACCACTTTATTCAACCAAAATATGCATAAATTATCAGACCAAAGGTATTAACACTGTTGTTGCATTGTATGCTGATAAACTATTCAAGTAAGACATGCAAACTATTTGTGGCCTAAACTATATCATTGTTTTGTAGCAACAATTGCTTTCCTGAGTCGTATCCAGAATCTCATGTTGCTCAAAGGGTCTCTGCTCCACTTCAGGTATGTGTTCTTCTTCAGATGCTTATGTAGACCTATTACTTTCTTAGTTTTCCTCTCTGCCACATCTTCCAGAATAATGATGATGATGTTGGCATTGCGTTCCATCAAAAACCGAGACTGAGCTAATTCAAACTCAAAACGACACCAGGAACTATCAATAAAGTGTTGAGACACGACCACAATGATCTTACGGCTGCCCATTATTCCTTCATCTATAATGTTGGAGGCGATTGACTTCCCGGCTTGAAAGTCCCGCATGTGAAGGCAAAGCTGAATAGGTGGCACACCGTTCTCCAAATTCTCCATCAGTTCATTCATGACCCAAGCTTCATCATAGCTGGAGAAAATCACAAATGCGTCATAAGAACATTCTTGCTGTCCAGGTGATCTGTAGCCTCTCAGTAAAATCCAAAAATAGCGCAAATAAAATTGAAACCTGTAAACCAAGATTGATAACACAACTATAAACACTACACAAAATACTGGTAAAACAATTATGAGTTTTTTCTTGTAGACACAGTGGTCAATGTCAAAGTCTGTTACTCTAAAATCTGAGTTTGGTGAAATAGTTTTGCACAAAATATTTTCTGGCTGCTTCAAAACTCTCTGATTATTGATAATCCACAACATAAAATCAGTCTGAGAGCAGGAGCAATCAATTGGGTTAAAGGACAAATCAAACTCTGAAAGGTTCATGGGCAAATTTTGAAGAACATGAAGTGGAATGGCAGTAATGCTGTTTTTCTCAACATAAAATGAAGTTAACTGTTTCAGATTTGGGTGAGTCAGAAAATCTATCTTAATTAAATAGTTTCCTTTCACATTCAAATGTCTAAGCCTCTGAAGATATTTAAAAGAGCTTGTGTGTAACTCTACCAAATGACAGAATGACATGTCAAGGTGCTCCAATAACGTGAGATTATTAAATACATATTTTGCTACATTACCTTGAAAATTATTACCAGCCATTTTGAGAACATTAAGACTGCTGAGTCCAAGAAAGCAAAATATGTTACTAAATGTTACACTTGAATAGGAAACATCCAGATACCTCAGATTCTTTAGGTTGGATAAAACAGAAAGGTATCCAATGCGTACAACCCTTGTATAGGAAAAATCTAGAATCTCAAGCGAATCAAGTCCTTCAAATCCTCCCACATCAACAGAAATTTCTGAGTTTAGGCTCAAATTCAAATAGTTGATTTGAGGAGTGCCGGATAAAAGTGTAGAGCAGCAATGTTTTATTTTCAATTGGTTGTCACTTAAATCTACATACTGCAGTTTAGGCAGGTCTGTAAAGGGCTCTGCAAAAATAGGTTCACTGTTGTGTGTAATTTCCAGTTTTTCTAATGTATGGAGATGTGAAAGTTGTTTAGTTGGCAAAGTACCCAAGCCATTGTTGATCAAATAAAGCTCCTTGGTTTTATGAAAATGCACAGTCTCCATTTTAAAAATATTACCTCCTTTTACTGTTATACGTGTTGCATTGATCATACAGCGAAAGATAGCAATTGTTGTTTTAGCACTTTCCAAAACATAGTAAGATACCTCCTGAAAATTAAAACAGCAAAGGCCATCTAAAACATCATTGTCCACGAAATGAAAGCCGTTATCTTCCCTGTACTTTCCAAAAATTAACCTTTTGACATTAAGACCATGCAAGGCTTTTAGAGCTGCTTTTTGAGCAGAAAATGAAACAAAAGCAGATCGAATATCCAGCTGTCTGAGATAAACATCTTTGAAAGCTCCTGGTTCAATGTGTAGTAATGGATTCCAAGTCAGAATCAACGTCATGTTTCTTCCGATCTCTCGCAGCACAACGGTGTGATCAGTTCTGATGATGGATATATTGTTGGCATGTAGATCAAGTAAACTGAAGTCTTTGAAGGTGGTCATGAATGGAGGAAGAGTCATAGACTGGATGTAATTTGTTCCAACATTGAGTTCCTGTAGCTTGGTAAGGTTATTAATATTAAGCTGTAAGGATTCAAGACCAATATCCACGAGAACTAGCCTTTGCAGATTATATAAAGTATTCAAGCATCCAGGAGCAAAATATATAATGGGGTTTCCAGTAAGGAACAAAGTAGTCAAATTCTTCACATTGTAGAAAGCATCATTTTCAATCTGTCTGATGTGGCATCTGAAATTTAAATAAAAAACATTCAACATTATTTATAGAAAATACCTCAACGGAAATCTTGAAAGTAATGGCATTACTTACCTTGACAGATCAAGAACTCTCAGAAAAGACAGAACTGGGAAAATAGTCTTCTTTAATTGTAGAAAAAAATTAAAACTGAAGTCCAGAGTTTGAACCGAGGAAGGGATACTGGATGGGATGCTGCTGAGGTTTCTTCCCATGCATGAGTAATGAAGATTCTCAATAATCTAAGGTAAACCAATCATTTAAAAACAGTAAATAAAACAGTAAGACAAAATACATTTTAAACCAGAAAACTTACTCGAGTACATGGCTCTCCATTAGCTATGTAGTAACATATCAAAAACACACTTATAGCATAGAAACCCATCTTAAGAGCTGCCATCAAGACTCACAACTTTTCTGATGAAAGAAATGTAGCCAACTATGTTTAAGGTCACATGAGGAGCAAATGAGGAATCAATACCATCATTTAAAATAAAGGGGAAATTCGATCAAAATTTTAATAAAACAAGTTAGCTTGCGGTTCTGGTGATTCACATGTGACATGTAAAATCCTTCAGTTTAATTTTTCTATAATTTTTTAATAATTCCAAATTATTTGAAATGTCTAAATCAGTTAATACCAACAAATAAATCATATGATGTCTTGATTTAGTATTATCTTGTAATTGAGAAAATACCAACACGTAACCTTTTACTCAATCGCTGGGGAGAGAAAAAATACTGGAAAACACATAGAAGGATAATAAATATGAACTACCAGCAGAGGGCTGGGTTCCGTACCCTGTACATAAGAGCAAGTGTAAAACTATTGCAAACTTAAGCCAGAAACTTACCGTGTTCATAGTTACAGGATTAACTAAATTTATTTTAGTATGTTCTAATACTCAAAAGAAGAACTGAATAAAATATGTACATCAATACAATATTGCTTATTTAAAAAAATAAGCATTTTAACTACAATCCCATTAGGTTTTAGACTTGTACAAATAAAGAACTACCGATGAAGCATCTCCTGCTAAGACAAGATATACCTGTTACGTTTGGAGTTGGTATTTAAATCGTCATTTAAGCATCCATCACTTGTTTCAACTTATAACCTTGTCGAGGTTCTTCTGTTGAACTCATTTGAAAAATGCTGGTAGCTGGCACCATTTCGTTTTTTTCCCTATCTTAAAGTCAATGGTACCGGCAAGAGATAATATAGTTTAGCATTTTTACATTTGTTACTTTGAAACTAAATTTTACATTTGTTCACTTCAATTTAGTTTTTATTTTATGAACACTTACCTCTTTCCAAACGTAACACGTAACAACACGTAATAAATAAAAGTACAAAGAATTGAGACAAAATTCTTCATATTAAAGATCATACTGTAGGCTACATGTAGACTGTTATTGCAGTGGCTTTTGGAAACTGGTTTATATATATATATATATATATATATATATATATATATATATATATATATATATATATATATATAAAATAAATGACTTCTGTAAAGAATCTAAAGAATCTTGCTTGTATGATGTGCTCATGTATTTACTAATACATAAGCACAACGTAATACATTTGTAACCACTGTGTTTGATTCTGCCAGTGAATGGGTGCAGACATTTCACATTTTCGGGTTTCTCAATAGTCATAATAGGGTTAACAAAGTGCAGTGAATGAAAAAGTACAACATATTATTTCTTTTTACAATCAAATTTGCTGAAATAAAAGAAAAACGCAATTATGGTGTTATCAAAACTATTAGAAAAACTACTAACAGCAGCTAAAAGAGAGAAAAACTTAAAATTCACTATCCTGTTCATAAATGGTGTATTAGAAAAACCTTGTATAATTGGTAATTCGTTTGTTGTGATTTGATGCCAGGATAATATAATACTGTCAATACACACACACCTTTTTTTTTTTAAGTTTAAAAACTGTCCAATGATTTAAGATGCTGGTGACCACATGGGTCGTCTTGTGAAAAGGGCCCATTCCTAAACAATTTTTTAGTTAAATACTTCTTTATTTCCACCGCTGAGACTGCAGCTCTGCACAAGACGTTTGGCCAACGGAGAAATTGAAATGGTCGTGCCCACCTGAGCCTGATTTCTCTCAAGGTTTTTTTTCTTCACTTTCGCCAATTGATAAAGTTTTGTTTCCCCCTCGCAGCTGTCGCCATTAGCTTGCATGATTCAGGATTGGTAGAGCTACGCATCAATGGATTTGCTCTTCAGTGTTTGGACTCTCAGTAATGATTATTAAACCACACTGAACGGAGCTAAACTGAACTACACTATTCCAATTTACTATGATCTTTTATGTGAAGCTGCTTTGACAATCTACATTATAAAAGAGCTATAAAAATAAAGGTGAATAGAATTAAATTTCAGTTCATTTTGCAGTGACCATTGATCATTTATTTAGTTTTATGATTTTAATTTATTGTGAATTTTTCATTTTGTTTCAGTTAACGAAAATATTTAAGATCAAAAGTTTGACTTGGTTTTCGTTTACTGAAAGCAAGAACATACTATAAAACACTGTATGAACTGGTTGAGTCAACAACCTTTATTTTTCCATATATGTGAGCCACTCAAAGATGGGGAAATAGACAAATGGAACAAGAATTTACCACTATAGAGGGCAATCAACAAACGGATCAATGGCATTGTAACTTTCTTTAACCTCTAGTCTACAGAGAGGCTTGCTGACATACAAGTAAATTAAAAGACAGAAATAACAGTGTAAACATTCATGTACAGAGAAGCAAAAAGAAATCAAATTAAAACAATGATTAGTATGTAAAGAAACAAAAAGGGACCGGGAGCCAAAACCTTTTTTTTTTTTCTATTAGAGCTCAGCATACATTTCTACATGGCATGCAATAAGGCACCTAACTAACACAATGAATAAACCTATGCTACATGAAGCACAACTGTTATCCAATTGAAAAGAAAAAATAGTTCTGATACAACGTTCACTCCCATAAAAACAGTTCTCTCATTTCCCTTTCATTTTCCCAAACCTTATTAAAAAAATACATCCGTTTGTAAAAGACTTTCTCAATACACAGAACTGTAAATAGAAAGCACAAATCCATGGAATTAAGGGAGGGGAAAAAATGAATCAAACAATTTCAAAAAAAGCAAGCTATATTTTGTATTTGCATCAAAGTATACACAATCTATTATTATCATCATTATTAAATGTTGATACTCTGCAAACTGTATCCAGAATACAACTAAATGCTATACATTGCTGTCTGACTTTATCAATGGCAGGTCCAATCCTAAATGTGCAGCCAGCCATTGGTAACATGGGAGGTAAGCAGAGAGAAGCACTGAACACATTTAGAGAATTTTGTGGGCTGTACCAAGTTTGGACTCAATAAAAATCAGCTGTACAATTCAGTTGTCTGTCGAAAACTGGCACTTTAAAGAATGAACCAATTTTTTTTCCAACAGAGTGTGTATATATTATGATTTGGTTGGGTCGACCCTTCATTTAATAGGACCAGCTTTTCACAACTTTATGTTCTAGACTTTTGCCTTTGTGATGCTCTCACCATCAGCCTTCAGGAAGTTATTCAAGTCAATATGCTGTTTAGGCTCAACCTTTTTTCATTTTGCATCATAAGGTATTAAATTAATAATCATTTTGATTCTATATTTTGCAGGACATCCCCTGAAAGCACCATTCACCTACGAGAGACCGATAAGACTACCTGGACCATACGTCAAGAATGGGTCATTTTGAGAAAAAGAACAGCACACTACTTATCTATACATATCTATATAAAAGAAAATCAACATATATTTACACACGATATCAGTTTCTCAACCCATTAATAACACAGAAATGGGTAAAAGATACAGACTAGGGGAGTGAATAGTTGCATCAAGATCAATTTGCTTAATTGTCTGTCACTCAAAACAAACTTGACCTAATACTCATTTCGAGATTGTGCCAGGCTTCAATAAACTTCCAAATGCAACTTTAAGCAAAAGTCAGTGATGGAATCTCAGTACATTTTGTCTGTGGTTTAATCACATACCATGTTCCAGAATTACATATTTAACTAGTCATGTGCACATTACACAGGGGATTTCAGTGTCAATCATACCAAATTGAAATTAATTTCCTTAAGATCAGGTCCACGTCGATGTTCTGGATTTTCTTTCCCACAACCCCTAAAGACTACAATGTGGCGTGAATCGTGGGATGAATGGTAGCATTTCACTTACGGGAGAGGAAATCAAGCTTACTGATCAATATGAATTCTGTGATGCCTAGACAGAGAAGACGAATGATTGAATCCCTTTCCACACTGAGCGCATCTGTATGGTTTCTCACTCTGAAGGATTCTCTGTTTCAAGATGGTAGTGTGGGGGAAACCCTTTCCTGTTGCAATAGCACTATAAGTTGACTTATCCTCCAAATGAACCCGTTGGTGCCTTGCGAGCGAGGAGGGGTGGTTGAATCTTTTACCACACTGAGCACAGGTGTAAGACTTTCCATCAGAATGAGTTCTCTGGTGCCTGGATAGTGAGGACGAGTGATTGAAGCTCTTCTCGCAATGGTTGCAGCTGTATGGCTTTTCGCCAGTATGCATTCCCCTCTTCAGTGTAGTATCAAAAGGGAAATCTTTATCAGCCTGGGCGTACATCTTGGCCTCCAAGTGGACCTTGTGGTGTCTTGACAAGGAAGAGGAATGGTTAAAACCCTTGTCACACTGAGAACAACGGTACGGCTTTCCACCCTGATGAACCAGCTGATGCTTCTTGAGGTGGCGTTTTCTCACAAAGCTCTTCCGACACTGGGTGCACTTGTAGGGCTTCTCCCCTGAGTGGATTCTCTGGTGCTCTCTCAGCGTGGCAGCTGCCGCAAAACACTTTCCACACTGGGTGCATCGGTGTGGCTTATCCCCAGCATGGGTCTTCTGGTGCTGTTTAAGATTGGAAGCAGTCGTAAAGCCTTTACCACACTGAAGACAGGTGAACGGCTTGTCACGGGCATGCAGCTCTTGGTGTTTTTTGAGATGACGTCT